TCTCAAGTACACTCACTCACACGTACACTCACACGGACACTCACTCACACAGACACTCGTACACTCACTCACTCACACGTACACTCACACGGACACTCACTCACACAGACACTCGTACACTCACTCACTCTCACGTACACACACTCACACTGACACTCACTCACACGTACACTCACTCACACGTACACTCACTCACACGTACACTCACACGTACACTCACTCACACGTACACTCACTCACACGTACACTCACACGTACACTCGCTCACACGTACACTCACTCACACGTACACTCACGTACACTCACTCACACGTACGTACACTCACACGTACACTCACTCACACGGACACTCACTCACACGGACACTCACTCACACGGACACTCACTCACACGGACACTCACTCACACGGACACTCACTCACACGGACACTCACTCACACGGACACTCACACGGACACTCACTCACACGTACACTCACACGTACACTGACTCACACGTACACTCACACGTACACTCACTGACACTCACTCACACTGACACTCACACGTACACACACTCACACGTACACTCACTCACACGTACACTCACTCACACGTACACTCACACGGACACTCACTCACACGTACACTCACACGGACACTCACTCACACGTACACTCACACGGACACTCACTCACACAGACACTCGTACACTCACTCACTCTCACGTACACTCACTCACACGTACACTCACACGTACACTCACACGGACACTCACTCACACAGACACTCACTCACACGTACACACACTCACACGTACACTCATTCACACGTACACTCACTCACACGTACACTCACTCACACGTACACTCACTCACACGTACACTCACTCACACGGACACTCACTCACTCACACGGACACTCACTCACTCACACGGACACTCACTCACTCACACGGACACTCACTCACACGTACACTCACTCACACGGACACTCACTCACTCACACGGACACTCACTCACACGTACACTCACTCACACGGACACTCACTCACACGGACACTCACTCACTCACACGTACACTCACTCGCACGTACACTCACTCGCACGTACACTCACTCGCACGTACACTCACTCGCACGTACACTCACTCGCACGTACACTCACTCGCACGTACACTCACACGTACACTCACACGTACACTCACTCATACGTACACTGACTCACACGGACACTCACACGGACACTCACACGTACACTCACACGTACACTCACTCACACGTACACTCACTCACACGTACACTCACACGGACACTCACTCACACGTACACTCACATGTACACTCACTCACACAGACACTCGTACACTCACTCACTCTCACGTACACTCACTCACACGTACACTCACACGGACACTCACTCACACAGACACTCGTGCACTCACTCACTCTCACGTACACTCACTCACACGTACACTCACACGTACACTCACACGGACACTCACTCACACAGACACTCACTCACATGTACACACACTCACACGGACACTCACTCACACGTACACTCACTCACACGTACACTCACTCACACGTACACTCACTCACACGTACACTCACTCGCACGTACACTCACTCGCACGGACACTCACTCGCACGTACACTCACTCGCACGTACACTCACTCGCACGTACACTCGCACGTACACTCGCACGTACACTCACTCGCACGTACACTCACACGTACACTCACTCACACGTACACACACGTACACTCACACGTACACTCACTCATACGTACACTGACTCACACGTACACTCACACGTACACTCACACGGACACTCACTCACACGTACACTCACTCACACGTACACTCACTCACACGTACACTCACTCACACGTACACTCACTCACACGTACACTCACTCACACGTACACTCACACGTACACTCACTCACACGTACACTCACACGGACACTCACACGTACACACACTCACACGTACACTCACTCACACGTACACTCACTCACACGTACACTCACACGGACACTCACTCACACGTACACTCACACGGACACTCACTCACACAGACACTCGTACACTCACTCTCACGTACACTCACTCACACGTACACTCACACGTACACTCACACGGACACTCACTCACACAGACACTCACTCACACGTACACACACTCACACGTACACACACTCACACGTACACTCATTCACACGTACACTCACTCACACGTACACTCACTCACACGTACACTCACTCACACGTACACTCACTCACACGGACACTCACTCACTCACACGGACACTCACTCACTCACACGGACACTCACTCACTCACACGGACACTCACTCACACGTACACTCACTCACACGGACACTCACTCACTCACACGGACACTCACTCACACGTACACTCACTCACACGTACACTCACTCACACGGACACTCACTCACACGGACACTCACTCACTCACACGTACACTCACTCGCACGTACACTCACTCGCACGTACACTCACTCGCACGTACACTCACTCGCACGTACACTCACACGTACACTCACACGTACACTCACTCATACGTACACTGACTCACACGGACACTCACACGGACACTCACACGTACACTCACACGTACACTCACTCACACGTACACTCACTCACACGTACACTCACACGTACACTCACTCACACGTACACTCACACGGACACTCACTCACACGTACACTCACATGTACACTCACTCACACAGACACTCGTACACTCACTCACTCTCACGTACACTCACTCACACGTACACTCACACGGACACTCACTCACACAGACACTCGTGCACTCACTCACTCTCACGTACACTCACTCACACGTACACTCACACGTACACTCACACGGACACTCACTCACACAGACACTCACTCACATGTACACACACTCACACGGACACTCACTCACACGGACACTCACTCACACGTACACTCACTCACACGTACACTCACTCACACGTACACTCACTCACACGTACACTCACTCACACGTACACTCACTCGCACGTACACTCACTCGCACGGACACTCACTCGCACGTACACTCACTCGCACGTACACTCACTCGCACGTACACTCGCACGTACACTCGCACGTACACTCACTCGCACGTACACTCACACGTACACTCACTCACACGTACACACACGTACACTCACACGTACACTCACTCATACGTACACTGACTCACACGTACACTCACACGTACACTCACACGGACACTCACTCACACGTACACTCACACGTACACTCACTCACACGTACACTCACTCACACGTACACTCACTCACACGTACACTCACACGTACACTCACTCACACGTACACTCACACGGACACTCACTCACACGTACACTCACATGTACACTCACTCACACAGACACTCGTACACTCACTCACTCTCACGTACACTCACTCACACGTACACTCACACGGACACTCACTCACACAGACACTCGTACACTCACTCACTCTCACGTACGGACACTCACACGGACACTCACACGGACACTCACTCACACGTACACTCACATGTACACTCACTCACACAGACACTCGTACACTCACTCACTCTCACGTACACTCACTCACACGTACACTCACATGTACACTCACTCACTCACACGTACACTCACTCACACGTACACTCACTCGCACGGACACTCACTCGCACGGACACTCACTCGCACGGACACTCACTCGCACGGACACTCACTCGCACGTACACTCACTCGCACGTACACTCACTCGCACGTACACTCACACGTACACTCACTCGCACGTACACTCACTCACACGTACACTCACTCACACGTACACTCACACGTACACTGACTCACACGTACACTCACACGTACACTCACACGGACACTCACTCACACTGACACTCACACAGACACTCACTCACACGTACACTCACTCACACGTACACTCACACGTACACTCACTCACACGTACACTCACACGTACACTCACACGGACACTCACTCACACGTACACTCACATGTACACTCACTCACACAGACACTCGTACACTCACTCACTCTCACGTACACTCACTCACACGTACACTCACACGGACACTCACTCACACAGACACTCGTACACTCACTCACTCTCACGTACACTCACTCACACGTACACTCACTCACACGTACACTCACTCACACGGACACTCACTCACACGGACACTCGCTCACACGGACACTCGCTCACACGGACACTCGCTCACACGGACACTCGCTCACACGGACACTCGCTCGCTCACACGGACACTCACTCGCTCACACGGACACTCACTCGCTCACACGGACACTCACTCGCTCACACGGACACTCACTCGCTCACACGGACACTCACTCGCTCACACGGACACTCACTCGCTCACACGGACACTCACTCGCTCACACGGACACTCACTCGCTCACACGGACACTCACTCACACGGACACTCACTCGCACGGACACTCACTCGCACGGACACTCACTCGCACGTACACTCACTCGCACGTACACTCACTCGCACGTACACTCACACGTACACTCACACGTACACTCACTCACACGGACACTCCACATGCAGCGTCCCCCGACTCCTCCATTGAGCTCATGCCCTCCAAGGTGCGGGAGGTGCTGGTGGTGGTGGATGAGGAGGTGGAGGTGGTAGGGGTGGTGGTTGTGGAGGTGGTGGTGGTGGTAGTAGTTGTAGTGAAGGTAGTAGGGATGGGGGTGGTGGTGGTGGTGGAGGTGGTTGTAGTGGAGGTAGTAGGGACGGTGGTGGTGGTGGAGGTGGTGGTGGTGGTGGTGGTGGTAGTGGAGGTGGTGGTGGTGGTGGTTGTAGTGGAGGTAGTAGGGACGGTGGTGGAGGCAGTTGTAGTGGTGGTGGTGGTGGCGACTAGCAGCACCTGCCCCTACACCATTAGAGGCTACACGGCGGGGTGGGCGCGTGACCTCCGCCTTTTGTTTGCGACGCAGCTGAAGCCGGTGGCCACGGACTCGCTGCCGCAGCTAAGGAGCGGCGGGCGACCCCGCAAGACTATTGCGCCCTACAGGGTGACCGCACGTACACGCACGTACAGTCACGTACAGTCACGCACGCGTACACGTGTACACGTACAGTCACGCAGTCACGCACGCACGCGCACACGTGTACATGCGCACGTACAGTCACGCACGCACGCGCACACGTGTACACGCGCGTACAGTCACGCACGTATGTACATACGTACGTACGCGCGTAACACATACGTACACACTCACGCACACTCACGCACGCGCGTGCACTGCTACTATTACTAAACGTGTTGTGGTGGTGGTGGTGGTGTCTCTGTGCTGTGCAGTGTCGCTGTAACGGACGCTGTGATACGCGGCATTGTGGCTACTACTACTGCTACTACTGCTGCTACTAAGCGTGTGGTGGTGGTGGTGTCTCTGTGCTGTGCAGTGTCGCTGTAAACAGAACTGTGGCACTCTCCGGTGCGGCTGCAGGAGAGCGGGATTAGCATGCTCTCGCCACAACTGCGGCTGCGACCACCGCATCTGCAAAAACGGCAGCCACGCGGTGAGGCCAGTGCAGCTGCAGGTGCAGCTGGGGGTGCAGCTGGTTGATACGGGTGCAGCTGCGAGTGCTGTGGGTGGTGTGGGTGTTGTGGGGGGTAGCGGAAGCAGCAGCAAACGAGGGTTTGGTGGTAGTGATAGGGGTTGTGGTAGTGATAGGGGTTGTGGTAGTGATAGGGGTTGTGGTAGTGATAGGGGTTGTGGTAGTGGTAGGGGTTGTGGTAGTTGTAGGGGTTGTGGTAGTGATAGGGGTTGTGGTGGTGATAGGGGTTGTGATAGGGGTTGTGGTGGTGATAGGGGTTGTGGTGGTGATAGGGGTTGTGGTGGTGATAGGGGTTGTGGTAGTTATAGGGGTTGTGGTAGTTATAGGGGTTGTGGTGGTGATAGGGGTTGTGGTAGTGATAGGGGTTGTGGTGGTGATAGGGGTTGTGGTAGTGGTAGGGGTTGTGGTGGTGATAGGGGTTGTGGTAGTGGTAGGGGTTGTGGTGGTGATAGGGGTTGTGGTAGTGGTAGGGGTTGTGGTAGTGATAGGGGTTGTGGTAGTGGTAGGGGTTGTGGTGGTGATAGGGGTTGTGGTGGTGATAGGGGTTGTGGTAGTGGTAGGGGTTGTGGTAGTGATAGGGGTTGTGGTAGGGGTTGTGGTGGTGATAGGGGTTGTGGTGGTGATAGGGGTTGTGGTAGTGGTAGGGGTTGTGGTGGTGATGGGGGTTGTGGTGGTGATAGGGGTTGTGGTAGTGGTAGGGGTTGTGGTAGTGGTGTAGGGGTTGTGGTAGTGGTGTAGGGGTTGTGGTAGTGATAGGGGGGGTAGTGGTAGGGGTTGTGGTGGTGATGGGGGGGGGGTAGTGGTAGGGGTTGTGGTGGTGATAGGGGTTGGGGTGGTGATAGGGGTTGGGGTGGTGATAGGGGTTGGGGTGGTGATAGGGGTTGTGGTGGTGATAGGGGTTGTGGTAGTGATAGGGGTTGTGGTGGTGATAGGGGTGGTCGTAGCTGGAGTGGGTTAGAGAGTAGCAACAGGATGGTGATGATGGTGATGATGATGGTGATGATGGTAATGATGATGGTGATGATGATGGTGATGATGATGATGGTGATGATGATGGTGGTGATGATGATGATGGTGGTGGTGATGATGATGATGATGGTGGTGATGATGATGATGATGGTGGTGATGATGATGGTGGTGATGATGGTGATGGTGATGATGTCGATGATGATGTCGATGATGGTGATGATAATGGTGATGATGATGATGGTGGTGATGGTGGTGGTGGTGATGATGATGATGATGGTGGTGATGATGATGATGGTGATGATGATGATGGTGATGATGTCGATAATGGTGATGATGATGGTGATGATGGTGATGATGATGGTGATGATGATGATGGTGATGATGATGATGGTGGTGATGATGATGATGGTGGTGATGATGGTGGTGATGATGATGATGATGGTGGTGGTGATGATGATGATGATGGTGGTGATGATGATGGTGGTGATGATGGTGATGGTGATGATGTCGATGGTGATGGTGATGATGTCGATGATGGTGATGATGATGGTGATGATGATGGTGATGATGATGGTGATGATGATGGTGATGATGATGGTGATGATGATGGTGATGATGATGGTGATGATGTCGATGATGGTGATGATGTCGATGATGGTGATGATAATGGTGATGATGATGGTGATGCTGGGCTAGGGGAGAAGATGGGTGGGGGTTGTTTTAAGTGGGTGGGAACTGAAGCTGCTGCTTGCGGGGCAACACAAACACCCCTCGACTGCGGTGAGTTTCACCGCGGCGAGTTCACCGCGGTGAACCTGTCGAGGTGAAACTCTTTGCGGTGAAACTCTTCGCGGTTAAACTCTCCGCGGTGAATCTGACGCCCGGTGGCGCACGGTGGCGCTCGGTGGCGCATGGTGGCGCTCGGTGGCGCACGGTGGCGCTCGCTTGGCGATCTCCACCTTTCCTGCGGGTTGTTCGCTTGTCGTCACTCTGACGAGTAGCGATGCTTCGTTCGTGGCAGGGTGGACGTTGGCGTCTTTGTTGGCTTCACTCTCAACTCGGCGACTCAGGGTAGCGATTCTTCTCAGGTGGTGCAGACCTCGGCTTGTAGCGGCACGTCGCTACCCCGCGAACCTCATCATTCTGGATGACGAAAACTTCTTGACAATTTCTGGTGGGGCCCGTGGCCCGGACGATGTGGGGCTCAGAGCCGCTGGCGATCTGAGTTGAATGGATTTTTCCCCGGCTTATATTGAGAAAATCCACTCGGTCTTCCCGAGTTGTTTGAAGGCCGTCATATATCTTTCTGTGGGTTGGGCGCATCTGCGTCCGTGTGTTTCGTGTGTCGTGTGCGTGTTTATTAGTAAAGACCCAGCTGTGTAACCATTCTGGGAGGAGGGGTGGGGAATATTATTTGCTTGCGTGTGCAAATCTTGCTGTCCGTGCTGCGGGGAGACAAAGGCGGCCGTGCTTAACTCCAACGTGGGCACCCTCTCCCCTCTCCGCGTCTCTTGCGAGGGAAAATAAACAGAAAAAAAACCAGATGTTCTCGAATGTCAGCACAAACCCCCCCCCCCCTTTGTGACCTTTCTGCTCCCTTCTTGCTTGCCCTGGGTGGGTCATTCTGAGGTCAGACCCCGCTGGAAGACAAAGGTGGTCGAGGAGATGTTTGCGATACATTTACGTGGTCCTGTGTGTTACATTTATTCTTGAATTATATTTTATAAATTCCTTCGGTCTTGGTATCGTGGTTATCATTCGTCTATGTTTAATGAATATTCGTAATGCTCCTCGTCACATTATTAACTTGGGGCTTCGCCCAGTTTAGTTCTCCAGAGATTGGTGTTTATTCCGAGTTATTTTTTTAAGCCCTCTGGAATTCGCACTCTTTAGCTTTTTTTGGAAGGTCGTGTAGGTAGGAAACATATAGTAATAGTAAAAATATTAGTGTTTGTTGGTTAATTATCTTTGTTAAGTTTCTACTTTTCGGTGAGGAAAACGCCAAGAAAACGCGAAGCTTCAACCGTCATTCACTCTGCACCTTATCTGTACATCTCCAGATGTCTCGGGAGGTTTAGTCCATACATCTTTTTGTCCGTCTGGATGTCTATGACCTTTTTGTGACCGAATTCCTATCATTTCAACCGCCCTCCATGTCTCATGGACTCCCGGTGTGCCCGTGAGTTGTTTTCATTATTTAATTAAAAAAAATAGATATTAAAAAAAAATATATTTTTTTTTCTTAATTATTCTTAATATTAATAACGGAAAACAGGGCATAGATACAACAATCATCACCAGCTATCGTCACCAGCTATCACCACCGCCTCTTATCACCGCCATCATCACCACCGCCACCCTTACCATTATCTCCCACTCTCACCACCACCTCCCCACGCTCTCCCCACGCTCACCACCCTCACCACCACCCTCACCCTCACCACCTCCCTCACCACCACCCTCACCACCACCCTCACCCACCCTCACCACCACCCTCGCCCACCCTCACCACCACCCTCGCCCACCCTCACCACCACCCTCGCCCACCCTCACCACCACCCTCACCACCCTCCCCACCCTCACCATTGTCTCCCACCCTCGCCCACCCTCACCACCACCCTCACCACCACCCTCACCACCACCCTCACCACCCTCACCACCCTCCCCACCCTCACCATTGTCTCCCACCCTTGCCCACCCTCACCACCACCCCCCTCACCACCTCCCTCACCACCTCCCTCACCACCACCCTCACCACCACCACCACCCTCGCCCACCCTCACCACCACCCTCACCACCACCCTCACCACCCTCCCCACCCTCCCCACCCTCACCACCCTCACCACCACCCTCACCACCAAGCTCACCACCCTCACCAGTCTCCCCACCACCCTCACCCACCACCATCACCACCACCCACCACCACCACCCTCACCACCCTCATCACCACCACCCCCACCACCCTCGCCACCTCCCCACGCTCTCCCACAGGTGCTCAAGGAGATGGGTGGCACTGGGCTGCTGTCTGGGCTGTCGGACCCCTCTCTGCTCACCAACGCCAGCCCCCCCGTTCAAGAGCCACGCGCCAGCGGAGGCAGCACCAGCGGTCGCACCAGCGGAGGTGGTGGTACCAGCGGTGGTGGTGGTGGTGGTGATGATGATGGTGGTGGTGGTGCTGCTTCTGGAGCTGGGTCACTCGGGGCTCATGGCCGCCTGCTCGCCCGTGCCGCCCATGTAACGTAGTCGCGGCGACGGCGGCGTCTCACACGTTGTTGTTGTTGTGTGTTGTTGTGCTTCCTCCGACGAGCGCGGTTTGGCTTGCTGCGTTACGGCGGTGCGAAAGCCGTTCCACGCGTACACACACCAACAACTACCTACACAACAACAACTACCTACACAACAACAACAACAACTACCTACACAACAACAACAACTACGTACACACCAACAACTACGTACACACCAACAACTACGTAGACACACCAACAACTACGTAGACACACCAACAACAACTACGTACACAACAACAACTACGTACACACCAAACAACTACGTACACACCAACAACTACGTCAACAACAACATCCGCCGTTCACCACTAAGTGGCAGTGACAGCGCTTGTGCCAGGCTAGGTGCACGTTGAGGCCACCACGTGAAGTGTCAAACGCCCCCCGCCGGCAGGAGGTCACGTGGCAGACCCAGCTGGTGCCACGTGTCGACTAAGATGACTGGCCGATGCACCACCTGTGCCAGGCTAGGTACAGGAGGTCACGGGGCAGACCCAGCTGGTGCCACGGGTCGACTGACCGAGACGACTGCCCGATGCACCAGCTGTGCCTCCCACTGTGCCAGGCTAGGTGCACGCAAAAGACAAAAATCCCCCGTATAGCCTGAACAGGCTGTCGGGGCAAATGCTTGCTGCTGCTGCTGCTTAGTTGAGTTGGCTCTGCAAGCGTGCGGTGGTGGCGGTGGTGGTGGTAAACGTCGCACTGTGTGTGTGTGTGGCAAGGCCGTTGTCCGTGAGCTTTTGTCGGAGGGGAAAAATGTTTAGCTGCCAGAGTGTGTCACGCCGTGTCCGTCTTTCTCGCTGTCTCTCTTGTTGTTTTTCTCGCTCTGTCTTTGTCTGTCTCTCTGTCTGTGTGTGTCTCTGTGTGTGTGTGTCTGTCTCTGTGTGTGTGTTTGTATGTCCGTCGACTCGATGGTTGCGTGATGATGATGGATGCACTGAGTCGGTTCGGATGGATTTAGAGTTCCACGGTTCAGCCACACGTGACGAATTAGCAGCAGGCAAGATTGTCCGGGTGTGTAGTGTGTGTGTTGTGTGTGTGTGTGGTGTGTGTCCAGTGTGTGTGTGTGTGGTGTGTGTGTGTCCAGTGTGTGTGTGTGTGGTGTGTGTGTGTCCAGTGTGCTGTGTGTGTGGTGTGTGTGGTGTGTGTGTGTCCAGTGTGCTGTGTCATGTGTGTGGTGCGTTGTGTGTGTGTGTGGTGCGTTGTGTGTGTGTGTGGTCCGTTGTGTGTGTGTGTGTCTGTGGTGCCTTGTGTGTGTGTGGTGTGTTGTTTGTGTGTGTGTGTGGTGTGTTGTTTGTGTGTGTGTGGTGTGTTGTTTGTGTGTGTGTGGTGCGTTGTTTGTGTGTGTGTGGTGCGTTGTTTGTGTGTGTGTGGTGCGTTGTGTGTGGTGTGTGTGGTGCGTTGTGTGGTGCGTTGTGTGTGGTGTGTTGTGTGGTGCGTTGTGTGTGGTGTGTTGTGTGGTGCGTGGTGTGGTGCGTTGTGTGTGGTGCGTGGTGTGTTGTGTGGTGCGTTGTGTGTGGTGCGTGGTGTGTTGTGTGGTGCGTGGTGTGTTGTGTGTTGTGTGGTGCGTTGTGTGTGTCTCTTCAATGATGTGTAATGTGTGAGTATGAATGTACCTATTGTCATTTTAACACAGACGCTTTCGCTACCAATGTCATCCGTAATTGAGGTTGTGTTTTTTTGGGGTGGGGGGGGGTGTGGGGTCTTAGATCGTGTAAGTATATGAATGTGTCGTTAAACCCGCCACCACCCGACACAGCCACCTAGTGAACGTGAGTGTCGTGTGAATAGCACGGGGCCGGTTCGTCACGATCACAGCACACAGCCTAGTGTAGTGTATAGTGTAGTGTATAGTGTAGTGTATAATGTTGTATACTAGTACAGCACTAGTGTGTAGTGTATAGTGTAGTATACTAGTACAACACTAGTGTATAGTGTAGTATACTAGTACAGCACTACACCGCCTGTGTTGGAGATGTAGTGCTGTACTAGTATACATTATACACTACACACTAGTGCTGTACTAGTATACTACACTATACACTACACTATACACTAGTACACTACAAGCCACAACATTTGCCGTGGCGTCTCCCCAGTTGCTGTACTAGTGACGAATTGACACGTTTTGTTCGTGACAACCCAGACTCTAGCTGGCTGTGTCGGGTGGTGGCGGGTTTAACAACACAACATTTATATTTTCACTCGATCTAACCCAACACACAAACCCTCTGTTATGGACCCGTTATCGTGATTGTAGAATAAAATTTTTTATAAGGTTTTTCGGTTGATTGAAATTTTATTAGAGAGCTGTGGATGAAGGAGAGAGCTGTGGATGAAGGAGAGAGCTGTGGATGAAGGAGAGAGCTGTGGATGAAGGAGAGAGCTGTGGATGAAGGAGGGAGCTGTGGATGAAGGAGGGAGCTGTGGGTGAAAGATGGAGCTGTGGATGAAGGAGGGAGCTGTGGATGAAGGAGGGAGCTGTGGGTGAAAGATGGAGCTGTGGATGAAGGAGGGAGCTGTGGATGAAGGAGAGAGCTGTGGATGAAGGAGAGAGCTGTGGTTGAAGGAGAGAGCTGTGGTTGAAGGAGAGAGCTGTGGATGAAGGAGGGAGCTGTGGATGAAGGAGAGAGCTGTGGATGAAGGAGGGAGCTGTGGGTGAAGGAGAGAGCTGTGGGTGAAGGAGAGAGCTGTGGATGAAGGAGGGAGCTGTGGATGAAGGAGAGAGCTGTGGATGAAGGAGAGAGCTGTGGTTGAAGGAGAGAGCTGTGGTTGAAGGAGAGAGCTGTGGATGAAGGAGGGAGCTGTGGATGAAGGAGAGAGCTGTGGATGAAGGAGGGAGCTGTGGGTGAAGGAGGGAGCTGTGGATGAAGGAGGGAGCTGTGGTTGAAGGAGAGAGCTGTGGGTGAAAGATGGAGCTGTGGATGAAGGAGGGAGCTGTGGATGAAGGAGGGAGCTGTGGATGAAGGAGAGAGCTGTGGATGAAGGAGAGAGCTGTGGGTGAAAGATGGAGCTGTGGATGAAGGAGGGAGCTGTGGGTGAAAGATGGAGCTGTGGATGAAGGAGGGAGCTGTGGATGAAGGAGAGAGCTGTGGATGAAGGAGGAAGCTGTGGATGAAGGAGAGAGCTGTGGGTGAAAGATGGAGCTGTGGATGAAGGAGGGAGCTGTGGATGAAGGAGAGAGCTGTGGATGAAGGAGAGAGCTGTGGATGAAGGAGAGAGCTGTGGGTGAAAGATGGAGCTGTGGATGAAGGAGGGAGCTGTGGATGAAGGAGGGAGCTGTGGGTGAAAGATGGAGCTGTGGATGAAGGAGGGAGCTGTGGATGAAGGAGAGAGCTGTGGATGAAGGAGAGAGCTGTGGTTGAAGGAGAGAGCTGTGGTTGAAGGAGAGAGCTGTGGATGAAGGAGGGAGCTGTGGATGAAGGAGAGGGCTGTGGATGAAGGAGGGAGCTGTGGGTGAAGGAGAGAGCTGTGGGTGAAGGAGAGAGCTGTGGATGAAGGAGGGAGCTGTGGATGAAGGAGAGAGCTGTGGATGAAGGAGAGAGCTGTGGTTGAAGGAGAGAGCTGTGGTTGAAGGAGAGAGCTGTGGATGAAGGAGGGAGCTGTGGATGAAGGAGAGAGCTGTGGATGAAGGAGGGAGCTGTGGGTGAAGGAGGGAGCTGTGGATGAAGGAGGGAGCTGTGGTTGAAGGAGAGAGCTGTGGGTGAAAGATGGAGCTGTGGATGAAGGAGGGAGCTGTGGATGAAGGAGGGAGCTGTGGATGAAGGAGAGAGCTGTGGATGAAGGAGAGAGCTGTGGGTGAAAGATGGAGCTGTGGATGAAGGAGGGAGCTGTGGGTGAAAGATGGAGCTGTGGATGAAAGAGGGAGCTGTGGATGAAGGAGAGAGCTGTGGATGAAGGAGGAAGTTGTGGATGAAGGAGAGAGCTGTGGGTGAAAGATGGAGCTGTGGATGAAGGAGGGAGCTGTGGATGAAGGAGGGAGCTGTGGATGAAGGAGAGAGCTGTGGGTGAAGGAGAGAGCTGTGGATGAAGGAGAGAGCTGTGGATGAAGGAGGGAGCTGTGGATGAAGGAGAGAGCTGTGGATGAAGGAGGGAGCTGTGGATGAAGGAGGGAGCTATGGGTGAAGGAGAGAGCTGTGGGTGAAGGAGAGAGCTGTGGGTGAAGGAGAGAGCTGTGGATGAAGGAGAGAGCTGTGGATGAAGGAGGGAGCTGTGGATGAAGGAGAGAGCTTTGGATGAAGGAGGGAGCTGTGGATGAAGGAGGGAGCTGTGGGTGAAGGAGAGAGCTGTGGGTGAAGGAGAGAGCTGTGGGTGAAGGAGAGAGCTGTGGATGAAGGAGAGAGCTGTGGATGAAGGAGAGAGCTGTGGATGAAGGAGGGAGCTGTGGATGAAGGAGAGAGCTGTGGATGAAGGAGAGAGCTGTGGATGAAGGAGGGAGCTGTGGGTGAATGAGGAGCTGTGGATGAAGGAGAGAGCTGTGGATGAAGGAGGGAGCTGTGGGTGAAGGAGAGAGCTGTGGGTGAAGGAGAGAGCTGTGGATGAAGGAGAGAGCTGTGGATGAAGGAGGGAGCTGTGGATGAAGGAGAGAGCTGTGGATGAAGGAGGGAGCTGTGGATGAAGGAGGGAGCTGTGGATGAAGGAGAGAGCTTTGGATGAAGGAGGGAGCTGTGGGTGAAGGAGAGAGCTGTGGGTGAAGGAGAGAGCTGTGGGTGAAAGATGGAGCTGTGGATGAAGGAGAGAGCTTTGGATGAAGGAGGGAGCTGTGGGTGAAGGAGAGAGCTGTGGATGAAGGAGAGAGCTGTGGGTGAAGGAGGGAGCTGTGGATGAAGGAGGGAGCTGTGGATGAAGGAGAGAGCTTTGGATGAAGGAGGGAGCTGTGGATGAAGGAGAGAGCTTTGGATGAAGGAGGGAGCTGTGGGTGAATGAGGAGCTGTGGATGAAGGAGAGAGTTGTGGATGAAGGAGAGAGCTGTGGATGAAGGAGAGAGCTGTGGATGAAGGATAGAGTTGTGGATGAAGGAGGGAGCTGTGGATGAAGGAGAGAGCTGTGGGTGAAGGAGAGAGCTGTGGGTGAAGGAGAGAGCTGTGGATGAAGGAGAGAGCTGTGGATGAAGGATAGAGTTGTGGATGAAGGAGGGAGCTGTGGATGAAGGAGAGAGCTTTGGATGAAGGAGGGAGCTGTGGATGAAGGAGGGAGCTGTGGGTGAAGGAGAGAGCTGTGGGTGAAGGAGAGAGCTGTGGGTGAAGGAGAGAGCTGTGGATGAAGGAGAGAGCTGTGGATGAAGGAGAGAGCTGTGGATGAAGGAGGGAGCTGTGGATGAAGGAGAGAGCTGTGGATGAAGGAGAGAGCTGTGGATGAAGGAGGGAGCTGTGGGTGAATGAGGAGCTGTGGATGAAGGAGAGAGCTGTGGATGAAGGAGGGAGCTGTGGGTGAAGGAGAGAGCTGTGGGTGAAGGAGAGAGCTGTGGATGAAGGAGAGAGCTGTGGATGAAGGAGGGAGCTGTGGATGAAGGAGAGAGCTGTGGATGAAGGAGGGAGCTGTGGATGAAGGAGGGAGCTGTGGATGAAGGAGAGAGCTTTGGATGAAGGAGGGAGCTGTGGGTGAAGGAGAGAGCTGTGGGTGAAGGAGAGAGCTGTGGGTGAAAGATGGAGCTGTGGATGAAGGAGAGAGCTTTGGATGAAGGAGGGAGCTGTGGGTGAAGGAGAGAGCTGTGGATGAAGGAGAGAGCTGTGGGTGAAGGAGGGAGCTGTGGATGAAGGAGGGAGCTGTGGATGAAGGAGAGAGCTTTGGATGAAGGAGGGAGCTGTGGATGAAGGAGAGAGCTTTGGATGAAGGAGGGAGCTGTGGGTGAATGAGGAGCTGTGGATGAAGGAGAGAGTTGTGGATGAAGGAGAGAGCTGTGGATGAAGGAGAGAGCTGTGGATGAAGGATAGAGTTGTGGATGAAGGAGGGAGCTGTGGATGAAGGAGAGAGCTGTGGGTGAAGGAGAGAGCTGTGGGTGAAGGAGAGAGCTGTGGATGAAGGAGAGAGCTGTGGATGAAGGATAGAGTTGTGGATGAAGGAGGGAGCTGTGGATGAAGGAGAGAGCTGTGGGTGAAGGAGAGAGCTGTGGATGAAGGAGGGAGCTGTGGGTGAAGGAGAGAGCTGTGCATACCCCCACTTACGAACACCACCCCCCCTCTTACCCCCACTTACGAATAATAACGGTGGAGTCAGTTGTGAGTGCGAAGGGACTGGTGGCCACGGGAGGTAATCATCAACAGCGGTGCCAGGCTAGGTGTCTGTAACACAATCCCCCACTCACCCCCCTCTCTCTCTGTGTGTCTCTCCCCCTGCTTCTGTTAAATCATCACCACGGTGCCAGGCTAGGTGCCTGTACCTCCCCCCACTCACCCCCCGGTGCCAGGCTAGGTGTCTGTACCCCCCCCACTCACCCCCTCTCTCTCTCTGTGTCTCTCTCTCTGCTGCTCGTCCCGTGAGTTGCTTCCGGATGAGGTCGTGGCGCTGGCGGTGGCCGCTGGGTGAGAAGCGGCGCCACCGCGCGGCAGAGTAGCGATACTGACGGGCTAGGCGGTCCCCCACTTACGAACACCCCCCCCCCCCGCATACCCCCACTTACGAACACCACCCCCCGCATACCCCCACTTACGAACACCACCCCCCCGCATACCCCCACTTACGAACACCACCCCCCCGCATACCCCCACTTACGAACACCACCCCCCCGCATACCCCCACTTACGAACACCACCCCCCCCCCCCGCATACCCCCACTTACGAACACCACCCCCCCGCATACCCCCACTTACGAACACCACCCCCCCCCCGCATACCCCCACTTACGAACACCACCCCCCCGCATACCCCCACTTACGAACACAACCCCCCCGCATACCCCTACTTACGAACACCACCCCCCCGCATACCCCCACTTACGAATAATAGCAGGGGATTC